TCATGTGTACATTTGGAAGAAGAACATTCCAGGTAGAGACAATAGCAAGAACAAAGGCTCTGAGGCCAGAGGGGCCTCAGATGGGCCAATCAGGTGAGTCTTGTGGGACTTTAGTTTTATCCTGAGTTAGATGGAGCCATGGAAGCTTCCTTTCTGACTTCCTCCCTCCCTTTTTCTCTTTCTTTCTTTTTTTCTTACCCTGTATGTAATTCTCAGGCTTAAGACTTTAAAGCCCTAAGAGTTTACCCAACTAGTGAAAAATACAATTGTGTCTGTGTCTGTCTCTCCTATTAGTTTGTCATAAGGCACAGAATTTTTTAAAATGTTCTATGGGAAATGTGAAACGTAGACTAAAGTGGAATGAATGGCATTTGAGCCCTGCATACCTATCACCTGGTTTTAACGATATCAACCCTGGGCTGGACACCACTGTCTCGTCTGCTCACTCCACCCTCTGCCGGCCCACATGTTTTTCTTCCTGGCGTATTTTGAAGCACATTCTAGACATCAAGTCATTTACCTGTAAAATACTTGAGTACACATTTCTCTGAGTGATAAGGACATTGTTTTAAAAGCAGTCAGGCATGTTATGCGGTATCATCCCATCTCTCCGTCGTGGAGTCAGCACAGCCACACCCAACCTCTTGTTGCTTTAAGGGTGAGAGTGAGGGGTGAGGACAGGAAAAGAATTTTCATTAGACCACTATCTACTGAGCTTTTTTTTATTTTATTTTTTTCCCCTCCACGCTGTTGGCACATCCCACAAAATTCACCCTAGTTCTTTCATATCTTCCAGTACCTAATCTGTGCTCACATGTCCCTGGTTGTCTTGAGAGTGTCTTTATTTTTTTTCTTTTTATAGTAGACACTTATTTTACTGATTCCAAGACAATAGTTCACTTTGGAAAATACTTTATATATTTTTGGTTGATTTTATTTTCCTTTAACATTTTATTATAAAATATTTCAAACATACAGAAAAGTTGGAAGCCTTGAGTTGGAAGACTTGTACAGTGAATGCCTGAATACCTGTATAGATGCTAACATTCACACTGTCCTACGTTTTGTTGTTGTTGTTAGCAGCTGGCTGGTAAGGGGATCCAAACCCTTGACCTTGGTGTTATCAGCACCACACTCTAACCAATTAAGCTAACCAGACAGCCCATATATGTTTTTTAAAAATTGTTTTTCTATCCATGGACCTGTCCCTCAAGGGTGAAACTTTGCCCTGACTGGGCTGTCTCTCCCCTCCCTCCGTCTCTCTCCAGTATCTGGTGCTGATGCTCATCATCTACATCTTTGAATGCGCCTCCTGTATCACGTCCTACACCCACAGAGACTATGTGAGCTGGGCAGAGGCCAGGGGAGGGGCGTGCCCTGGGGGGGGAGTGGTGACAGTTCTCGGTGGGAGGTGGCGGTCAACCTCTCTCCCCGCCCAGCCCTGCTGGACCCTGTTCTTCCTGGCCCTCTGCAGATGGTGTCCAACCCGTCCCTGATCACCAAGCAGATGCTGACCTTCTACAGTGCAGACACAGACCAGGGCCAGGAACTGACCCGCCTCTGGGACCGCATCATGATTGAGGTGGGCAAGGGTGGATGGAGGTACTGGAAGGGCCTGGAGCTCTGTCCACAGAGGAAGATGGAGCTCCCATTATGCCCACTTGTAGATGAGTAAGAGAGAGTGCTTCAAAGACATCCACTCATGTGATCCCTGTGAGGGCAGGGCGCTGGTCTTCACCATTTTCTGGATGAGTAAACAGGCCTAGAAAGGGAAAGTCACTCACCCATGGTCATACAGTTGGTAAGTGGTAGAGCTGGGATTCAAACCTGGCAGTCTACATCTAGAGCCCCTGCTCTTAACCGTTATGTATACTGCCTCAGTAGTAATAACAATGATAATAACAACAATAATAATAATAGCAACCATTTATTGGGCACTAACGTCAGCACTGTTCAAAGCATTTTTAAAGCTTATGTAATGCTCACAATCATATCATGAAGGAGATCAGTTTTTAGCTATGAGGAAACTGAGGCAAGAGGTTGAATGGTTACATGAGGTCATACAGCCGGTAGGTCACAGAACCAGAAGGATTCAAACCCAGGCAACCAGGTTCCAGAAGCCACACTTTTAATTAAATCCAACATGATATTGCAACAGAAGAGGAAGAAACTGAGGACCCACCTTGACCCAAGTCATACAGCTGGCCAGGATTTGAACCCATGTTTAAAGGATGCCCATGCCTGTTTTCATCATTTGCAGGCCACAAATTAAACACTCATCAGGGCCTGGAAAAGTCAGAAATCTGCCTTGTTGTGTCATTTTGTCAGCATAGGTGTCAACAAAAGAATTTTAAAATAAATCATGCATGGGTTTGGTCCAAATCCTGCATAAGCCTCCTGGTCCTGGGATAAGTATTATCTGATCCTTGCTCACACACACACACACTTTCCCCCACTTTGAGGCCCAGAATATGGAGAAGTTGGGCCCAGCTGTGTCTAAGGTGAACCCTGCCTCTCCTGCCTGTGTGACCTCAGGCAAGTGGCTTTCCTCTCTGCCTACACCTGCCTGACTCCCACCTTTCTCTCCAGCAAGAATGCTGTGGCACATCTGGCCCCATGGACTGGGTGAACTTCACATCAGCCTTCCGGGTGGCCACTCCGGAGGTGATGTTCCCCTGGCCCCCACTGTGCTGTCGCAGGACGGGAAACTTCATCCCCATCAATGAAGAGGGCTGCCGCCTGGGCCACGTGGACTACCTATTCACCAAGGTGTGTCCCCTCCCCTCTGCTACACC